TTTCCCAGAAACCCCATCATCAGACTTGTACTTAAGGTATTATAGACAACAGATGGGTCACATAGATACCCTTAGTTGGAAAAGAGTCAGAGAAAGTAAGGGATAGAATTGTCAGCATTGTGTTAGATTAGGGGTGGGTAAACAATAACCAAATCTAGACCACTGCCTGTTTTTGTAAATAAAGTTGTCTTGCACCATATCTATATCCACGCATTTACGTATTGTCAAGGTAGTAGTCACACTACAATGGCAAAGTTGTAACAGAGACTGAAAGGCCTGTGAAGTTTAAAATATTTACTATTTGGCATTTTTCAGGAAGATTTGCTGATCCTGGCCTTAAACCACTTGTGAGCCATCATCTAGGCTAGGTACTTTCCTCCCCCAAACAAAAGTGGGAGAGCTGATAGCAAAATGAGGGGACAGTGTCACTGAGTAGGTCACTGACATTGTCTGCCATATATAGCTGTTGTTTCCTCTGTTTCAGATGAGGAGGATCAGAAAAGTTAAGTAACTTGCCCAGGACACAGGTTGAACAAGGGCAGTCCTAAGTTCAAGTTCAGATTCAAAGTTGACTTCATGTCCTTTTGACCATATCATAATTTTATGAGTTTTGCCATCTGTGAAGGAGCTATAAGACAGCCATCTATTATTCAATGCAGCCCTTAAGTGAATTGTACAAAAGGACAGAAAGCTAATGAGTCTATCTACATAGGTTCACAAGACAATTATTTACTTTTTTATTTTTGAGATGGAGTCTCGCTTTGTCACCCAGGCTGGAGTCAGTGGCATGATCTCAGCTCACTGCAACTTCCGTCTCCCATGTTCAAGCAATTCTCCTGCCTCAGCCTCCTGAGTTGCTGGGACTACAGATTCACACCACCATGGCTGGCTAATTTTTGTATTTTTGGTTTGTGATGGGTTTCACCATATTGGCCAGGCTGGTCTTGAACTCCTGACATCGTGATCCACCCGCCTCGGCCTCCCAAAGTGCTGAGACTACAGGCGTAAGCCACTGCAGCCAGCCAGTATTTACTTTTAAACTGCATTTCAGTGTTCGACTTGTGAGTCAAATGGTATAAAATATTGAAGAGATTTTTTTCTGAGCCAAGTATGAATGACCATGGCCCAGGACACAACCCTCAGGAGGTTCTGAAAATATGTGCCCCACGTTGTCAGGGCACAGTTTCATTTTACACATGTTAGGGAGGCATGAGACATCCATCAGATACATTTAAGAAATCCGTTGGTTTGGTTTAGAAAGGTGAGACAAATCAAACTGGGTTGGTGGGGGGTGGGAACGAAGGTGTGGGGACTTGCAGGCTATAGGTAAATTTAAACATTTTCTGATTGACAATTGGTTGAGTTTACCTAAAGGCCTGGGATCATTAGAAAGAAATTGTTCTGGTTAAAAATAAAAGATTGTGAAGACCAAGGTTCTTTTGAAGTCTTATAGTGGCTGCCCTTAGAGATGATAGATGACAAATGTTTCCTATTCAGATCCTCTAAGGTGCTAGACTTTTAGTTAATCTCTTTAGGATTAAGAGGTCTTGAAAGAAAAAGATTTAGCTATTTTAATAGAGATTCTTTATAGATGCAAATTTCCCCCCACAAAGGACAGCTTTGCAGGGCTATTTCAAGATATGGCAAAGAAACATGTGTTGGGGTAAAATATTTTTATTTTCTTACTTGTCTAGTAATGTTATGCCACACTCAGGTTGGAAAGCAAGTAACTATATATAGGGTTAAATAAAACCCATCTTATGAGAATTTATGATTTGTAGGGCATGACTCCCCAGACCCCTTAGATAGGAATTTGAGCAAGATTAAAAAATCAGAGTTTAGTCCTCAGTTTCCCATTTGGTTCTCTTTTTGTTACATATAAACACAGGCTATATGTAAACCTGAGCTACTTTAGAATAGTTTTGTGTCTTTTTTTTTTTCTTTGGAGATGGAGCCTTTCTCTGTCACCCAGGCTGGAATGCAGTGGCACAATCTCAGTTTACTGCAACCTCTGCCTCTCGGGTTCAAGTGACTCTCCTGCCTCAGCATCCCAAGTAGCTATGACTACAGACACATGCCACCATGCCTGAATAACTTTTTGTATTTTTAGTAAAGACAGTGGTTTTACCATCTTGGACAGTCTGGTCTTGAACTCCTGACCTCGTGATCTGTCCGCTTCCACCTCCCAAACTGCTGGGATTATAGGCGTGAGCCACCATGCCCCTCTTAGAATAGGGTTTTTAAAAGTTCTTTTTCTCCCCAATACTTCACATATACCTAATACACAGGGCTCAAGAAAACTTTGTTATACCCCACACTTCACTATTGTCTCATATCAAGTAAATATATAACATTCATAATTTCATATATTATCTTCCCAATGAGGCTATGAATTGCATCCGTGGATATCCACTCTGCACTTAATATATGTAAAATGAATAAATGACAACTCCGTCCCTCACCATTGGCCCCTTAGAACTGAAAATGATGGCAGTTGCAGTGTTTAAGGGCAACATGAGTGGTCAGCCACCTTTGGCCTGCCTGGTCAATCTCATCTGTGTGTGATGGCAGCAGCATCTATATGCAGCTCAGGCCTGAACACTGGGCTGTCTCTGTCCCTTCATTTCCTCTGCAACCTTGAAAGAGCAGCAAGGTGGTAGGAGAGCTAAGAACAGCATGGTCGGCCGGGCACAGTGGCTCAAGCCTGTAATCCCAGCACTTTGGGAGGCCGAGACGGGTGGATCACGAGGTCGAGAGATCGAGACCATCCTGGTCAACATGGTGAAACCCCGTCTCTACTAAAAATACAAAAAATTAGCTGGGCACGGTGGTGCGTGCCTATAATCCCAGCTACTCGGGAGGCTGAGGCAGGAGAATTGCCAGCCTGGGTAACGAGCGAAACTCCGTCTCAAAAAAAAAAAAGAAAAAAAAAAGAACAGCATGGTCAACACAAAGGAAAAGGGCAAAATTTTGAGAGGAGGAAGAGGAAAGCTTTAGAATATTCATTCTTCTTCTTTTTCGTCTCTCCATGCTCCATAACTCAATCCAAGGGGATCTGGAAGAAACCACTTCTCCTCTTCCTGCCTTCCATTTCAAGTTTCTGAAGCTTCTTCAAATTTGTCTCTCTCTCTCTTGCCTGTAGGTCTTAGCCATGCCTGGAAGAATCTTCTTTTCCACTCTGCTGCACCACGGTCAAGCTAACTTTTCTTCTAAGGTTTTACTTTAGAGTTAACATCTTCCAAAAAGCCTTCTGGAGGTGCCCCTGGTATCACAGCCATGGCATCCTGTACACTGGACCTAATTGTTTGTCTGCCTGTATGAGTTTATAAGCAAAACCTATAAGAAGCCACATCTGGCTGTTCTATGTACTAAAAAAATAACTTGCAAGCGAAAGAATGAGGAAGAGGAGAAAAAATTCAGAAGGCTCCTATCCCTTCCAATGGGTCATGTTAGGGATTTCCTACCTGCTTGTGATTCTGTATGCCCTAGAGGGTTTTACTTACTCCTGAGACCTTGGAAACTGTTAAGTAGAGTCTGTTTGGAGATCTTATCTGTGTGCTTCTCCATGGGTGTTGTTTTCCTCTATCTCTCCAGCCATGCATTCCTCAGCTCTTTAAGTGGTGGAGCCTGTCTGCCTGGATAGAGTGCAAAAGCTACAGTGTAATCTTGCTTTCTTTCAGGGCCACTGACCAGAGGAAACAAAAACTGGACTGATTGGGCTCTTCTGATATGGACCAGCTAGTGGCCCTGTAGTTTCCTTCTGTGTTTAAAATTCCTTATCTGACATTGCTAGCAGATCAGCAGGCCCACAGGTCAACTGAGGGCTTATCTCCAGAGCTGGAGCTTCAAAGAGATACATCCACACTACTCACTCTCCTGGGTCAGATGGGCTGTGTCAGTGAGTTGGGAGTAATTTGGGATCAGTCAACTGAACACACATAAAACAACCGATTATTTATTTATTTTTTAAAAAGCAAAGTTTACTTTTTCCCATTATGAAAGTCATCAATGCTCGTTGTAGAAAATTTGTCAAATAGCAGAAAGTAGAAAGAAAAAAAATTCCTTAAAATTTAGTATGCTTGATATATTTCTGTTTAATGTGTTACTATGTTATTTAATAGTTGTGATTATATATGTTTTGTAATAAATGTGTATTTGTGTTGTGGCTTTTTTAAAATTTAAAAACATAAAAAATATTTCCCCAAATTTATATATCATTTGCGTAAACAGAATTTTAATAGCTGCATAATTGTTTATATAATATATAGCATCCTTTATTTATGCTATATATTATATATAGTTATATATTATATATATATTTATGCTATATATTATATATTTGTAAACTCTGCCTCCCAGGTTCAAGCAATTCTCCTGTCTCAGCCTCCTGAGTAGCTGGGACTACAGGTGCCTGCCACTACAGCTGGCTAATTTTTGTATTTCCAGAACACAGCATGATTTATTACTGCATGGCTTATTACTGTCTGCATGGTATTTTCTCCCCCAGCTGAATCTTAACTCCAATCCTGCCATATTTCTTGCTCTCTCTCTTTTTTTTTTTTGAGACAGAGTCTGGCTCTGTCGCCCAGGCTGGAGTAAATATTTGTAAACCATATATTTGATAAGGGGTTAATGCAGTGGCACCATCTCGACTCACTGCAACCTCCGCTTGCCTCAACCTCCTGAGTAGCTGTGACTACAGGTGCCTGCCACTATGCCTGGCTAATTTTTATATTTATAGTAGAGACAGGGTTTCACCATATTGGTCAGGCTGGTCTCGAACTCCTGACCTCAGGTGATCCGCCTGCCCCGGCCTCCCAAAGTGCTGGGATTACAGGCATAAGCCACCATGCCTGGCTGAATCTGCTGTAATTTTTGAAAGTAGGTGTGGCGCTGAGATTATGCCATGGCACTCCAGCCTGGGTGACAGAGCAAAACTCCGTTCCCCCCCCCAAAAAAATGAAAAGTAAATTATTATTGCTTTTTTTTCCAAGCCAAACTGCTTTATTAAAGATACTTTACATAAACCATCATGGTATTTCAGGCAGGACATGGGCAGACAGTCGTTAACAGTATACAACACCTTTCAAACTCCGTTATTCGCTGGACTACCAATAATCAGAAAGCCACCATAAAACCCAACTCAGTTTTCATCTGATGCTCTGAACAGGGAAAGTTTAGAGTGAGGGTTGACATTTCACATTTAGCATGTTGTTTAAGAACTTTCACAAGCCAACCCTGACTTTCAGGAAGTGAAATGAAAATGGCAGAATTTATCTGAAGATCCACTATCTAGAAATGGAACCACTGCTCTTTTGACAGGTGCCATCTCAGTGGGATCACTGGAAAGTCCAGAGTGCCTGACGGGTCAGGTCCCAACAGATGTTTGGGCTTAAGGGTGGTAAGTCTGTGCTGAAAGATGGAAAGGGAGAAGAGGACATAAAAACAAGTTTGTTTTTCCATACCACAAGCCTTTTGTGTGCCAAGGTGGTCATGTGTGTCAAAGCCAGGGAATCTCTCCTCCTGAGAGCCAAGAGGAAGTCTCTCAAAACTAGAAGGGAAAAGTGTTTTTCCCACATCCATCTAGCTTTGGAGACATTATGTTAGTGAAATATGCCCCTTCCCCTAAAAACAACAATGAAGTGTTCTGTGTGCTAACCACATAGCTTAAAAAAAAAGTAAAACAAAATTCTGCATTTTTATAGCCCCACTCTGGTTCTGTCCCGTTTTGAAGATGAGGTCTGTAAAGGATTTTAGCTGATGAGTGTTATTGTATTTTATAAATACAAAATGTAGAATACTACTGCAATATTTGGGCAAGAGAAAATGATGGCTGAAATAAAGGTTCTGGCAGTGAGGACATAGAAGATAAGTTAGATTTGAGAGGTGTTTAGGAGTAGAATAAATAAAATGAGTGCATATTGATGGGAGTGGAGTGTGGAGCAGTGTGGTGAGAGAGAGGGAGAAGTTACAGATAACATCAGTTTACTTGGATGAATGTGGAAATAGTAATACCACTAACAGAAAACTGACTATGAATTAGGAGCTGGTTTGGGGTGGGAGAGGATATATTTTACTTTATATATCCCAGGTTTGAGGTTCCCAAGAGAAATCCAGGTGGAGATGTGAAGTAAGATGTCAAAAATACAGGTCTGGAGATTAACATAGAAGAATAAATATACATTTAAGAGTGGCTGGAATATGAATAACAATTGAAGTCAAGGTAGCAGTGTGCCAGGTGGAAAGGAAATACAGGTGAATAATTAAATCTGGGAGTAATAATACATAAGGTCTGGCTAACAGAAGAAGATGCCAAGTAAGAAAACAGAGAAGGGAGACATTGTGACTCATCAGGGAAATGAAGAGAATGGATTGCCATGGAAACAAAAAGGAGAGAATTCCAAAAAGAAGAGAGTTTTTAGTAATATCATATACCCCAAAGAAAGCAGTGGAAACAATGAAAAGTATTCATTGACCTTGGCAATAAGAAAGTCATTGAAGACCTTTAAAACAACATCAAAGTACACAAGCAACAAAAGCAAACAAAATGAGTTGGACTATAAACTAAGCATCTGCACAAGCAATGGAAACAATCAATGCAATGAAAAGGCAACCTATGGAATGGGAGAAAATATTTGTAAACCATATATCTGATAAGGGGTTAATATACAGAATACAGTTGTATAAGGAATTCATACAACTCAGTAGCCCCCCCCCCGACAAAAATCCAATTAAAAAATGAACAAAGGGCCTCAGGAAACACTTTCCCAAAGCAGACCTACAGATGACCCACAGGTACATGAAAAGGTGCTTACATCACTAATCATCAGGGAATTGCAAATCAAAACCGCCATGAGATATAATCTAACACCACTTAGAAGGGCTATCATCAAAAAAACAAAATATATCGAGTGTCGGTAAGGATGCAGAGAAAAGGGAACCCTTCTCCACTCTTGGTGGAAATGTAAATTGGTATAGCCATTATGGAAAACATTGTGGAGGTTCCTCAAAAAATTAAAAACAGAACTACCACATGACCCAACAATCTCACTCCTGGGTATAGATGAAAGGAAATGAAATCAACATCTCAAAGAGAATCTGCATGCCCATGTTCACTCTAACATGATTCACAGTAGCCACAACATGGAAACAACCTGTCTATTGATAGATGAATGGGTAAAGAAACTGTGTTATGTATAGACAAACGGAATATTATTGAGCCTTCAATAGAAGGACATACAATAATTTGTAACATAAACGAATCTTGAATGCATTGTGCTAAGTAAAGTGAACCAGATAGACAAAGCCAAGTATTGTACTATCTCACTTACACATAGAATCTAAAAAAGCTGAACCCATAGAAACAAAGAGCAGAATGGTGGTCGCTAGGGGCTGGTGGCAGGGGAAATGGGGAAATGTTGGTCAAAGGGAACAAACTTTCAGATATAAGATGAATAAGTTCTGTGGACGTAACATACAGCCTAGTGACTGTAGTTGCCATGTAATACTACAACACTTGAAATTGTTGAGAGATCTTAAATGTTCTTACTCACCATCCAGCCCCCTGAACACACAGAGACGTGGAAGGTTCATGAGGTGAAGTGATAGGTGTGTTAACTTGATGTGTTAATCATTTCACAATATACATATATCAAATTGTCACATTTATACTTTATAAAATTTTGTCAGTTATACCTCAAAAAAGCTATAAAACTTTAAAAAAAAAGGAACTGTGAGGAGATGGATATATTAATTTGGTTGACTGTAGTAATCATTTCACTATGTATATGTATATTGAAGTATGTTATATCCCTTAAGTATATACAAAAAAAAGAACCATTTAACATGAGAAAAAAAAACCATTGAAGTGTGTAGGGTGTGGGTACTGGATGGCAGTAGATTCAAGTGTGAACACGGGGAAGGTGTAAGAGGATGCAGAGTGAGGCTGGGTGGGGTGGCTCACACCTGTAATCCCAACACTTTGAGAGGCCGAGGCAGATGGATCACTTGAGGTCAGGGATTTGAGACCAGCCTAGCCAACATGGCAAAATCCCATCTCAACTGAAAATTACAAAAAATTAACTGAGCATAATGGCGTGCGCCTTTAGTCCCAGCTGCTCAGGAGGCTGAGGCAGGAGAATTGCTTGAACCTGGAAGGCAGAGGTTGCAGTGAGCTGAGATCATGCCATTGCACTTCAGCTTGGGTAACAGAATAAGACTCCATCTCAAAAAATAATAACAATAAAAGGATGCAGAGTGGAGTTTGGTGTTGAAGGAAATAATGAATAGTGATAGCTAACATTTGCTAAGAGCTTATTTTGTGTCAGGCTTAGTGTCTGACATATAATATCTCATCTAATTTTATGATCCATATATAATTGTCCCTTTTTATATGTGAAAAACACACTTGGAACTTAAGTGAGTTGCTAAAGATCACAAAACAAATAGGTTGCAAATATGACTCAAACCTAGTGTTGACTCAAACCCAGACCGAAGATCTTGACAGACACACAGGGGCCAGAGAAGGTAGGGCTGGGAGTTTTCCTCTTTATATGGTTATACAATTATAAAAGGAAAGCTTTTTTTTTTTGAGGCGGAGTTTCGCTCTTGTTACCCAGGCTGGAGTGCAATGGCGCGATCTCGGCTCACCGCAACCTCCGCCTCCTGGGTTCCGGCAATTCTCCTGCCTCAGCCTCCTGAGTTGCTGGGACACCACCGTGCCCAGCTAATTTTTTGTATTTTTAGTAGAGATGGGTCATCCATGTTGACCAGGATGGTCTCGATCTCTTGACCTCGTGATCCACCCGCCTTGGCCTCCCAAAGTGCTGGAATTACAGGTGTGAGCCACCGCGCCCAGCCATAAGGAAAGCTTCTTAATGAAATGATAGATTTAGTGTTTTATTTTTTCTTTTTAGATGGAGTCTTGCTTGCTCAGCTGGCCAGGCTGGAGTGTAGTGGTGTGATCTTGGCTCACTGCAACCTCTGCCTCCTGGCTTCAAGTGATTCTTCTGCCTCAGCCTCCCGGGTAGCTGGGACTACAGGTGCTTTCCACCACATCTGGCTAAATTTTCTATTTTTAGTAGAAACGGGGTTTCACCATATTGACCAGGCTGGTCTCAAACTCCTGACCTTGTGATCTGTCCACTTTGGCCTCCCAAAGTCCTGGGATTACAGGCGAGAGCCACAGCACCAGAAGCTATTTTTTAAAAAATAAAATATATTTTCTGCTACTCCAGCTACCTCATTACACAAATAATAATAGTTATTTAATCAGCAGATGTGGTACTAATAATTTACATGCAATATTTTATCTCTGTTGCAGAAGAATTGAGTCTAATAGTGGAGCTACCAAATACAGAAATCATAGTACAAGGTGGAATGTGAAAAAAATCACGAGTGAGGTAAATGCAAAGCACCAAGGGAGCTCAGAGGAGTCGGGGGGATTATTTCCACCAGAGAAACTCATTCAGTCAACACTCAAAAAATAATTTTCATGTGCCTATTACATCTTGGTCTCAAGAATCTCACATTCCGTTGAGAAAAGGACGAGGAAACAGATCATCTCAATAGTGAGATGTCATTTGATAACTGCAATCAAGCCATCAAGGCAGGCTCCTTGGAAGAGGCAGTACATGAACTATAGGTACTGAAGGTTTGGGGCTTCTCAGTAGAACAGGATGGGGACCCCTGATATCTCAAGGGTTGCACCTGGATCTCATTACACCAGCTCCAACCTCTAGAAGAGAGAGAGAAATGAGGAGTTGTTAACTTCACCATTCATTTCTCCTCTGAGGTCATAATTTTGAAGTCTTTAATGGTAAGCAGTCCTTCCCCTCTGTGCAACTGGCTTTTCTCCCACTGCAGATTGCACTGCACTTTGCTTAAGTCCATTCAGTTTGTGACCTTCTCTCCAATTTACCAATTCTGATTCACATGCTCCATCTTTCTCCCACAGAGAAGAAACAGCTGGCTTTTGGACTTCCAAACCTCCTCCATAATATGATTGTGTGAATTAAAATGTTCACATGATATCAACCATGCAGTTACTCCAAAGTTTATTTTGGAAAATATTACATTTGGAAAATGGGAAGCATTCCAGAGCATTCCCTTACCTTGAAATATCAGTAGACACAAGGGTATTTTGAGATCATTTCTTGCATAAAAGTTAGCAAATAATCTGTACAATTAGACATGTAAAATTGCCTTAAATAACATTAGTTAAGGACTCTGGGGCTTAAAATTTTCTATAGAGTATTTGTTGAGAAATTTGGGACAAAAGGCTGTAATTTTTATCTCACTGAAGCAAACTTTCAAAATGCCTTTGAGTTAACTCCCAGTTGGCTTTTATTGCACATTTCACTTTCAATCACTGATGATTAGACCTAACTCAGTTACATATTTCCCAAAATCTTACGTGCTTCAAACTCTCTCCCTCTGGCTATAAGAGGCAAAAAGAGTCTGGTTCCTAGGGAGAACTGCATCTCAACCCTAACAGCCCCGGCATCCAAGGGCCCACGGGGCCTATACAGTTCTCCTCTACTTTCCTCTTCCATTCTTTTCTTTTCAGATTGGTTTTAGAGTGCTAAGGCCACAAAAGGAGGGGTTCTACAAGGTCACATGTCCTAGGGAGATCTTATTGATGCACCTCTTTCTTTAATGCATCTCAATTCCCAGTGCCTCTGGTGTGTTTGCAGTGGATACAATACAAATGAGATTGGAGGGCCTTGAGAAAAAAAGACCTAGAATGATAAACAGGTTACAGTCCTTGTGTCTTTATTCTGGCTTTGAAATTTGAAAAGGCCTGAAACTCAGTGTTGTCTATTATCTCATTTATGAAAAGAAAACCCAATGTGTGTGTGTGTGTGTGTGTGTGTGTGTGTGTATAAATGTATAAAGAAAATGGTTACCTCTGGGAAAGAAAGTGTAATTAGACAAAAGTAAAGGCAGACTGTTAAATGTAGATAGATATACTTTTTTTTTTTTTGAGACGGAGTTTCGCTCTTGTTACCCAGGCTGGAGTGCAATGGCGCAATCTCGGCTCACCGCAAACTCCGCCTCCTGGGTTCAGGCAATTCTCCTGCCTCAGCTTCCTGAGTAGCTGGAATTACAGGCATACGCCACCGTGCCCAGCTAATTTTTTTGTATTTTTAGTGGAGACGGGGTTTCACCATGTTGACCAGGATGGTCTCGATCTCTCGTGATCCACCCGCCTTGGCCTCCCAAAGTGCTGGCATTACAGGCTTGAGCCACCGCGCCTGGCCTGAACATCAAAATGAATAATGATAATAATGGAATTATAACCCACTGGATAAAATAGGAATACTTTTGTATACACTAATGTTAATAAGTGAATCAATTGAAATTTGATGAAGAACAGGGTAGTTACATAGTCTTAAGTATCTTCCCTGTAAAAAGCTTATTAATTATAGAGAGAAAAAAAATGACTCTGTACAAGACAGCAAATACCATTGTAATCAAATGATCAAAGTGCCCATTACCAGTAATGGGATGAATCAACACCATCCGAGAGGATGCAATGAGAAGACATGGCATCACTTCTATGTTACTCCTTTCAGAAATGCATAACAGAATCCCATCATGAGGAAACTTACCAAATTAAGGGTCGTTCTAAAAATGGCATGTAGCTGGGCGTGGTGGCTCATGCCTGTAATCACAGCACTTTGGGAGTCCGAGGCGGGCTGATCACCTGAGGTCAGGAGTTCGAGACCAGCTGGGCCACCATGGTGAAACCCTGTCTCTACTAAAAATACAAGGGAAAAAAAAAAGCCTGGCATGGTGGCGGGCTCCTGTAATCCCAGCTGCTCCAGAGGTTGAGGCAGGAGAATTGTTTGAACCTGGGGGTCGGAGGTTGCAGTGAGCTGAGATTGTGCCATTGCACTCCAGCCTGGTGACTCCATCTAAAAAAGAAAAAAAAAAAGGCATGTAATTTTAAAAGGTCAAGGTCATGAAAATCAAGGAAAGACTAGAGAACTGGTTTCAGAGTAAAGGAGACTAAAGAGACATGATACAAATACAACACATGAATCTACTCTCTTTTTACTTTGAAGAACATGGAGGGAACAATCTGCAAAACTTAAATGGATTAAAGAGTAATGAAGTGTCGATGTTAATTTTCCTGAGTTTGATGGGTTTTCTTTTGTTATATAAGGGAATGAATGATCTTGTTTTTAGGAAATGCTAAATATTCAAGAGGGCTAGGGCATCACATCAACAACTAACAAATGGTTCAGAAAAGAAGGTACCTGTATTCTTCTTGCAGCTTTTCTGTAGCTTTGAGATTTGTTTTAATCAGGTCCAAAACATCTGTTGGCTTTTAAAGTTTCTCAGGTGATTCCAATGTCCAGGTTTGGAAAGTACTGAGTTAAACAGTGGAAATGGATTCTTACTCATTAACTTGGGTTTTTTCTTCTCATTTGAACTCCATCATATGAGGGTGCTTGGAAAAATTTAGATTCTTAGGGCTGACCTGAAATCCACTGAATTATAATATTCAGAAGTAAAGCATGGAGAGAGAGAGAGAGAGAGAGAGAGAGAGAGAGAGAGAGAGAGAGATATTTGTGTGTGTGTATATAATATTACATCTATAAATATATATAATATATATTTAAAATATTTATATTTACATATATTTATACATATAAATCTATATGTAAATATATATATATATTTTTTTTGAGATGGAGTCTCACTTTGTCACCCAGGCTAGAGTGCAGTGGCATGATTTCGGCTCACTGCAGCTTCTGCCTCTTGGGTTCAAGCGATTCTCCTGCTTCAGCCTCCTTAGTAGCTGGGAGTACAGGTGCACACCACTGAAAGCATGGATATTTTTATTTATAATAAGTAGCTCTTAAAATCAGAAAAGTTTGGGAGATAGTAATTCATCAAGAAGGTCACTGAATATTTTGTCCAAGGCAGCAAGAAGGGTTTGGTGATTAGAATCAAAATAGTGAATTATATCTGTGCACTGAGGAAGGAGAGATGACTAGAGCAGAGTCAGAGGACAAATACGGCATTCTCTTCCAACAACCCCTTCATAGCTGGTCTGCTGAATTTTTACTCATGTCCTTGGCAGCTCTGTGGAATGTAAACCAAGGGGTAAAACTGATCATTTTAAGGTCATTTCAGTTGTTACTATCTACTCAGGAATAAACAATGGCTAATTTTCTTGTTTTTTTTTTTTTTTTTTTTTTTTGAGATGGAGTCTCACTCTGTTGCCAGGCTGGAGTGTGATGATGCGATCTCGGCTCACTGCAACCTCTACCTCCCATTTTCCAGCGATTCCTCTGCTTCAGCCTCTCAAGTAGCTGGGATTACAGGTGTGTGCCACCATGCCCAGCTAATTTTATATTTTTAGTAGAGATGGGTTTTGTCTTGTTGGTCAGACTGGTCTCGAACTCCTGACCTCAGATGATCCGCCTGCCTCAGCCTCCCAAACTGTTGGGATTACAGGCATGAGCCACTGTGCACCATGCCTGGTGGTTAAGTTTCTTAAACCACCAAGTCTCAATTTTTTCATCCATAAAATGATTTGTTATGTGAATTAGGGGCAAATGCTAATTAACATACGAAAACATCTAGAACAGTGTCTAATTCAATACAATGATAATTATTATTGATACTTTTATAATCATTATTGTTCTTTCTCCTCTTCTTACTTTTCTTTTTTTTTTTTTTGAGATGGAGCCTTGCTCTGTCACCCAGTGCAGTGGAGCAATCTTGGGTCACTCACTGCAACCTCTGCTTTCCACGTTCAAGAGATTCTGCTGCCTCAGCCTCCCGAGTAGGTGGGACTACAGGTATGCATGACTATGCCTGGCTAATATTTTGTAGTTTTAGTAGAGACAGGGTTTCACCATATTGGCCGGGCTGTCTCGAATTCCTGACCTTGCATGATCCACCTGCCTCAGCCTCCCAAAGCGCTAGGATTTCAGGCATGAGCCATAGCAGCTAGCCTCTTCTTACCTTCTTCTGTTGCTGTTTTCAAAACCCCTTCAAAATGCATTATCTTCTTGTGTTATCAATTCTTATCAGCTTCTAATCATCAATCACTTTATGGTAAGGATACAAAACACCTAAATAAAAATAATTTTTAAATTTAATTATACTTTCCCATTTTACAAAAAAAGTGTTATACACCATGTGTGCCTGCTGCGGTTGGTACTAGGATAGAACTTGAATTTTGTCTTTACCTGGAATGCAGAGATGATTATTGAAATGCAGGTTCCATGGAGCTCCTAGTCCAGTGGAAATGATAGATAACAAATATTGCTAAGCACATGTTCAGAGATGTCTGAAACTGCCTTTCTTTCTCATTGGTGTGTGGGAGACTGTTGGATTCCCTTATTAAGTATGGCATTTAGGCAGAAAACTTCAATTGGAAGTAAAACCCCCTGATTTCTGAGAGAAGTCAGAGGGTAGCTCCTGCCTGCCTTCCTAGCTAATTGCCTTCTATTACGATGGTGAGGGGGTACAGGACAGGGAAAGGAGACAAGTAACTAAACTTGAGGATGAGGCAGAGGGGCAGAGAATGCCAGGGAGTAAAGAGAAGGAAGCAGTGTAATTAAAAGAGGCAGTTGGGAGATGCTTGTTGGCAGGACTAAGCAGAATGGGTGAGAGTCCAGGCTCTGGAATCAAATTGCTTAGGTTCATATCCAGCTCCTTTGCCTATGATGTCTTTGACCCTAGACAGTCCTCTTGATCATGAGTGTCCCTGTTTTCTTCATCTGTTAAACGGGGGTCATAAATTATCGTCTTGATAGGGTTGTTGTGAGAATTAAATGAGATAATAGATACAGAACAGACAGAACCTGGGACCCAGTAAATGCTTAATAAATACTGGCCCACCTTATGTTGGTGGAAGATGTCTAGGGTGATGCTTGTTGTCTTGGGCATAGTTAGCCATGTAAGACTGCCTTCTGGGGGGACCTGTGTGACTCAACCACTTGGGGGACACAGACAACAAGCTGCTTGCATAGCTCTTTGCCTTCCACCTCCAAGAGAGCAGGAGAGTTGCTTGCTTTGCTTCTTGCTCTACCCACAGCAGCTAGAATAGTGTCACTCACTGTGTAGAGAGTTAGTAGATAGTCATTGAATTAATGATATATGAATGCATACTTAGAATATGTTTCAAGGCTTTATTCACCAGGAAAATTCCTACTATTTCTTCAAGGCATAATTCAAACTCTTTTGACTCCTGTGGTCTAACCCTCCAGAACCCCAAAATAGTTAGGCACTTCTGCCTCTGCCTTTATTTACTCATATATCTTACATTATCCTTCTATTTTAATTTCCATACATATCTTCCCTATTAGACAGGAGAAATCACAGAGGCATGGACTCTTTTAACCTTTGGCACAACGATGCCTTGCAAGGGACTAAACATAAGTTTTGTCTCCTCTGCTTTGGGAAGCTTTGGGCTTGGATTATTGAGACACAAAAGCTAATTCCTCTTAGGAGGTGATAGATAGGAATCTTGGAATTTGGAGTTTGAGATTCATGGCAAACTTTCTAATTCCTATTGCCGAGGGAGGACCTTTTGTGTTTAAGGGTCAGCAGAAAGCTGCTGCCAGGAGAGGTGGCCCTGGAGGCCACCTAGATCATCACTTTAGCTGAGGGCATGAAAGGGCCTTTTGTCTGTGAGATGTATGAATATAGCACTTCTGTATTTTTACAGTTGAAATGGAAAGTGGACTGGCCTCTGGTTTTTCAGTATGTGAGACTCTAACATTTCAGCCAGTTGAGTGAAGGTGGATTGATGGTGGGGATTGAAGGGGAATGGTTTTATGTTATGCAAAGGACTGAGCATTAAATGCTGCAGGCTGGGAGATCCAGCAAGGGAGATTCTCTGTTGATCATGGCATCAAAAGAATGGAGTCTCTCATGAAGACACCTCTCATCAAAATACCACTCTAGCTGTTGCAATAAACTGGGTCAGCAGCAGTGTCTGACAGTGAGCTGCTACAGGGCCTAGCTGACAGTGGAAGGCCAACTTTCAACAGTACACCACAAGGCATGCAGGAATAGTAGTGGGTGCTTGGATATGAGAACTTACCTTAACTTGAAGCAAAAGTCAAATGGACCTCTCATTTGGAATGTGTACACCCTCCAGGGTTCTCAGAAGATCTAGAAGGGAAAGGGGTCCCACGAAAGAGACAACAGTTTCCCTAGAAACCTGACCTGAGGAGACTCAAGTCATTTTTCATTTAAATAGGAAAACTGAATATGCTGTCATACTTCTACCTTGAGCATTGAGGAGTTGACACCAGTTACATGTCAGTGGATGTACTTTGGTTTCTATCATACTGCTTGGCACATGATGGGGTTCATTACAGGATTATAGTACTAAAAAATGGATAAATGGAATGTGACTATGAAATAATAAGACTTCCACAAATTCAATTGGGAAGCCATTTTTTTTTTATTCTGCAAACTCATGTTAAATAGGTTACTAAGATACAAAGACTGTGTTTATGGTATGCTCCATATACATATAGCCAGTCTACCTGGATGCACCAGACTGTGATTAAAGATGAGGTCAGATTTACCTTGTAATGTTCAAATTACTGTGGCTCAAACTTTGATCTCATCTAATGACAGAAAGTCCTGTCTTTTATGAGGTTTCTCTCCACAAGTAGGTCTTTTTACCTTCCATGTTCCACAAACCTATACTGCCCTAGCCACCCCTATGGTGGCAGATTGCTCACTGTAGCTCCACCACTGTCACCCCTCATCTCCTGCAACCCCAGGATTGATGCCACTGCAGCCATGCTGGCCTCAGGGAGATAAAGGCTTTTCTTCCCTTTTCTAGATGATACGGGGGTAGACATAGACCCTTTAATTTCCCACAGCATGATGAACACCACACTGCAAAATGCTTAGGGATATGAGAAAGGAATTATTAAACTGACAAACAAAAATGACTACTAATTCTGAATGTTCTCAGAGTCCACAAGCCAGAGCATAGGCTGCCTTGGGCTCTTAGAATGGCAGTCCCAACATTTTAGTATCAGGGACCAGTTTTGAAGAAAAAAATTTTTCCATAGATGGTAGTGGGAGATGGTTTTGGGATGAAGCCGTTCCACTTCAGATTATCAGGCATATTCTCATAAGGGTCATACAACCTAGATCCCTCTCACGCACAGTTCACAGTGGCCTCCATGCTCCTATGCTGCCGCTGATCTGACAGGTGGTGGAGCTCAGGAGGTAATGCTTACTTGCCTGCCCCTTACCTCCTGCTGTGTGGTCCAGTTCCTAACAGGCCATGACTGCTACTGATCTGTGGCCCAGGAGTTGGGGACCATGTTTAGACATGTACTTAAGGGAAAACAGATATTGAAAATTTTAGAGAGAGAAAAAATATAGGACCCATTATTTGAGTCTTCACATAAGAATGTTACTGTGGAGTGCTAACTATAGAGGTTTACCTATATAAGTGTATTTTGAAACTGCATTTTACTAATCTAACAAATGTTTGAGTGTGCCTGTATCGTAGATCCTGGGCTAGGCACTAAAAGCACTGCATTAATTTTGGAGGAAATTGCAGCTTTGGGGAATTTAATATATTTGATATGATCAATTCTCTGAATTACTTTTAATAAAAATGTGTCTCCGTTTTGTAAATGGGAAAATGGGACTATCAGTTGCAAAAGGCAAACAATAGCACTTATTTAAAAAGATTATATTGATAATATATTATTGATAATATAATATATTGATAATATAATATATTGATAATATAATATATTGATAATATAATATATTGATAATATATTATTGGTAGACACACTGCCTACTTGGACTGAAAGGAAATATGCATCTTTTAATACTACAGATTTGAATATTAAAGTTTATAATTTACATCTTAGAAACTCAATATTTTAAATAAATGACATAAGGAAAAATCTGAAGTTATGTTGCAACAAAAATTAGTAGAAAATCAGAATCATGTCTGGGCTTGGTGGCTCATGCCTCTAATCCTAGCACTTTGGGAGGCCGAGGTGGGAAGATAACCTAAGGTAGGGAGTTTGAGACCAGCCTGGCCTACATGGTGAAACCACGTCTCTACCAAAAGTACAAAAATAAGCTGGGTGTGGTGGTAGATGCCTGTAATCCCAGCTAGTTGGGAGGCTGAGGCGGAAGAATTGCTTGAGCCGGGGAGTGGAGGTTGCAGTGAGCTAAGATCGCGCCATTGCACTCCAGCCTGGGTGACAGAGCAAGACTCTGTCTCAAAAAAAAAAAAAAGAAATAGGAATTATATGTAGCTATTCTGAAAAGCTTGATTATTGAATGTTGCTGGAATCAAGAACTACTACAGTATCATATTTTGAGTGAGCCATACTTTGTCATTGTGCTTTTTTTTTTGCCTGATAAGTATTTCTACAATGACTGCATATAGAGCTAAACAAGTTTAGTGTTGTTAAATCCTCTGCATTAGATCTTTTTTTTTTTTGGAAATGGAGATTCCATCTTGCTGCCCAGGCTGGAGCGCAATGGCGCGATCTCAGCTCACTGCAATCTCTGCCTCCCAGGTTCAAGTGATTCTCCTGCCTCAGTCTCCGGAGTAGCTGGGATTACAGGCGTCTGCCACCATGACTGGCTACTTTTCATATTTTTAGTAGAGATGGAGTTTCACCATATTGGCCAGGCTGGTTTTGAACTCATGACCTTGGGTGATCCACCAAGCTCGGCCTCCCAAAGTGCTGGGATTGCAGGTGTCAGCCACTGTGACCAGCCCATTTTAATTGTTTGGTAAATAAGATGCTATTTGTATAGGATTGTACATCCTAACATGATAATTTTTTGTTAATATTTGCTAGTATATTTTAATACTTAAGAATTTTTTGGTTGAAATTAATGCATTTTAATTTTTCCCATTTAAAACTAAGTTACTATTTAGCATTTTTTTGTGGAAGGATTATAGATTTTCAGGAATGGATTATTGAAGAAAAATAAGCCTGCATTGCTATTTCTATAATTTTTTGGACAAGTTTATGCTGTGGTTTTGATCCTCTTAGTTTCTGAATTGGAGATTTGAAAAAAATTGTGATTATCTTGTTCCTATTCTACCATTGCATATTGGATATGTTGAGGGGGAGGATAACTTTAACATGAGATCTGCATCTGGTACTGAGAAAATATTCTGGACTTTGGCTAGGATTCAGCAACTGCATGGGATTTTAGGTTGTCTCCCTTAAAAAAGCAAAGGTATGTCTATCTGTAGAAAGAATGATGTGCCCAGACATTTGGGTTGCCAGAGACATAGTACTATGGCAGACACTGCTAGTTGCCCCTCATCTCCTCAAATCTGTTTTTTTCTTCCCATTTTGCTCAGTAATAAAACCTCAGATGTTAGCTGGGCATTGGTCCAATTAATTAAAAAAGACTGTATTCCCCAGCCTCTCTTGCAATGAAGTATGGCCATGGGAGTAAGCTTTGTCCAAAGAATCTAAGTCCAAGTAGTTTGTATGGATCTTCTGGGAAGTTTTCTTTTCTTTTCTTTTTCTTTTGAGACAGAGTCTTGCTCTGTTGCCCAGGCTGGAGTGCAGTGGCCCAGTCTCGGCTCCTGGGTTCAAGGGATTCTCTTGCCTCAGCCTCCCAAGTAGCTGAGACTACAGGCGCCTACCACCATGCCCATCTAATTTTTGTATTTTTAGTCGAGTTGAGGTTTCACCACATTGGCAAGGCTGGGCTCAAACTCTTGACCTTGTGATCCACCCGCCTCAGCCTCCTAAAGTACTGGGATTACGAGCCACTGCAGCCCAGTCTAGAGAAGTTTTCTTAAAGAAAGAAAGTATGCCCTTCTCTTCCCCACCCATCCCCACCCCCTTTTTTTTCTGAATAACAGACGGAGTCTCTCTCTGTTGTCTAGGTTGGAGTGTAGTGGCGCGATTTTGACCAACCGCAACTTTCGCTTTCTGGGTTCAAGCGATTCTCCTGCATCAGCTCCAGAGTAGTAAGGTTAACAGGTGCATATCACCACTTTCAGCTAATTTTTGTATTTTTAGTAGAGACAGGCTTTCCCCATGTTGGCCAGGCTGGTCTCAAACCCCTGACCTCAAGGGATCCACCCGCCTCAGCCTCTCATAGTACTGGGATTACAGGTGTGAGCCACAGCACCTGGCCTCTCTTCCCTTTTTGCTGGTCTTCCTGGCTAGCATATTGATAACATGCTAGGTGACGGAATTATTTTATAAGTCAGGGTGGAAATCACAGGTAGCAGTTGGCATAGCAACCTGTCAGAAAGAGGCTGGGATCCCTAATCGTTATGGAGCCACCATTTTATCCTAGGACTGTCCTGTCTACCTTTACCTGAGAGAAAGAAACTTTTATCTTTTTGCCATTGTTGTTTTGGGCTTTTCAAATGAATATTCCTCTTTTATTTTCTTCTAACAACTACACCTATCTGATATTATCTTGTTCAGTTTTCTTATTTTCTGGCTTCTCCCTCTACAGTGCTAGTTTCATGAAAATAAATACCTTTCTGTCTCTCTTGTTTCTGTCTGTTTCCTTAGGGCAGTGCCTGGAAAATAGTAATGACTCAATAAATATTTGTAGATGAATGAATGAAGACCAGAAGATTAGCATGGAATTCTTCTAAAGGTAGTTCGTTTCTTCTTTAAGAGACTATGGAGTTTAGAATTCCAAAGAAACTGGTAGGTTGTTATATGCGAGGAAATTGACAGAGGGGTTATATGACTCAGGCAACACACGACCCTTGTCATGCTAATTGTCGGTCAATCCTAGCCAGGTGTGAGTTCTAACACACCAATGCTGCCTCTACAGTGTGTGCTATTTGGTTGAAAAGCACCTATAGAGGATGCTGTGGACAGGATTGCAACGTGGCGTAGAGTTTCAACAGAATGACCTATTGTCCTTCCCCATACGGTCGGGGTACGAACATAGCTGAGATTTTTCAAGCTTTTTCAGGTACCACATAGCTTGGAAAGCCCAGCAACTGGGGGCAGCTCAGTTGCAACTAGCAGGCAGCCCTGGCTGTTTATTACCTAGGACTCTTGGGAAGGCGAACTGGCAGTGCTAGGGAGGACGTTTCTCCCAGGCATTCCCCTGGCAACCCTCTTCCTCCACCAGGTCTCAACAAAGACATTTAATCCCTTTCTTCCTCTACCCTCTCTCCCTCCCTTCTACTTGGCTTGGTTTTGGAAGCTGAAGTACAATTTGACCCAAGCCACCTCACACTGCACTCCTGCCAGACGCCGCGCGTCCCAGAGCTGCTCTCCCTTGCGTACGGCCAGCGTTACGTGGGCGAAGCGTCCGCTCACCTCCAGGCACCGCGTTCTGAGCGACATCGCGCGCCGCCGCCGCGGGAGCGCGCTCCAGCGGAGGCCCTCTTGAGGGAGCGCGCACGCGCCGCCTCTCTCCGCCTCTCTGGTGCGCGTCCCGCCCCCTTGAACAGCGATACGCCGAGCGCTCAACATCCGAGGACTTTGGCCCAGAGTAACCCCGCTCTCGTGACCTTTCCCCTCCATTCCGCACCTCCGGCTGCAGGCGGGTACAGAGGCTGGCTGGCAGCTGGGCTCTCGCGCCCCTTTCTGCAGGGCGCAGGCTCTCCCCCTCCCGGCTCCTCCGCGCTGTTCCTCGTCATGGCGGCCCTCAGCAAGTCCATCCCTCATAACTGCTATGAGATCGGCCACACTTGGCACCCTTCCTGCCGGGTCTCCTTCCTGCAGATCACTGGGGGCGCCCTGGAGGAGTCCCTGAAGATCTATGCCCCTCTGTACTTGGTGAGACCCGTCAGCCCTCCCGCAGGGCGAGTTTAGTGTGGAGGATGGGCTGGGGGCTGCAGTTGGTGCTCCCGAGGGGCTCTGGGGGACTTGCCTTGTGTCGGGCTCTCTTTTAGAGGGGTCGGAGTGTTTTGGGGGCGGCTGGAGTATGGGGGAGTTGCAAGGGGAGGATATCCAGTTCTTGCACGGGAGAAGGAGGAGGGGAATTAGAGGTTGAGCTGTCATCTGAATGCCTGTTGCTAGGAAGAGGATAGGTTCCCAACTTTTAGGATTAAGTTTAGGACACTTAAAAACGTGAATTCAGAGGCAACCGTTATTTTCCTCTGGCCTGCCTTGTGATGGAGAGGTATTTATAGGTCAGCGAGGCTATGAGAAGTACCTGCAATCGTTCATCATCTGATTTCCCCGGTTTTATTTTGCCTTTTTTTTTTTTTTTTTAAGTGAAGAAGGCATATTTGACCCTAAATCCCTGTGGCCTCAGATCTTGACTCAGTTTTGAGATGACAGGATTGTGATTTGGGGGTTTTGCAAGCATTTTTGCAAGTTCGCAGAACAGACTCCTGGGATGAGATTGTTTGTGGTGATTTAAAGGGTGATGCCAGTCTTTGAGTCAGTGAACTTGATTAGGACATCTGACTTTGTGTCTCCTAGTTCCTTCTGTTACAGAACTTTATGTATAGGGCAATTAATGGGGACTATTTGGCAATATTTATATGTAAAACTGACGACTATTAAAGATGTTCTTAAATGTTCTTGCCAAAATCTTTTTTCAATAACCTTATCCTTGATATTAAAGATTTATTATTAATTGGGCCATTGAAGTGCATTCTCTCATTTTCTTGCCTTACAGAGTTTGTGTCCTAAGAAGACAGAAATCATATTTTTGTATGTCTTCTAAAAGTTTCAATATTTAGCGGATGATCAATTATTATTACTCATTGAAGTAATTTAGATTTATGCCCTAATGTTCCTGAAAGTGTGTCATGGCTGTATCTGTAATACTACTTGAAAAGTCGGATTATTTATTTCAGAGATAACACAGAAGAAGGTGATACTTTGTCTGTGGTTGCAGACACCCATTTCATTTTTACTGTGTGGACTCAAATGTTAATGTTTGTTAGGAATCCCCTGAGGATTATGTTAAAATGGGGGTTCTGATTCATTAGGTCCTGGTGGGGCCTGAGTCTCTGCTTTCCTAACAGACTCCCAGGTAATGCTGATAGTGGGGGCTGCACTTTGAATAATAAAGATCTAGAGTAGAGGCCAATAATTATTACTGGAGCTAGATTTTTTTTTTTTGAGATGGAGTCTTGCTCTGTTGCCCAGACTGGAGTGCAGTGGCGTGATCTCTCACTGCAACCTCCACCTCTCGGGTTCAAGCAGTTGTCCTGCCTCAGCCCCGCAAGTGGCAAGTGGCTGAAATTACAGGCGTGAGCCACTGCGCCCAGCTAATTGTTTTATATTTTTAGTAGAGACGGGGTTTCACCATGTTGGCCAGGCTGGTTTCGAAATCCTGACCTCAAGTAATCTGCCCACCTCTGCCTCCCAAAGTGTTGGGATTACAAGCCTGAGGCACTGCACTGAGTCAGGAGCTGGTAATTTTTTCCTCGATTTTCTTTGACAAAGATTCATCTTTATCTGCTTTTCCACATTCATTGTGGCCAGTCTGTTTTTTTTTGGAGACAGAGTCTTGTTGCATTGCCATTCAGGCTGGAGTGTAGTGGCACAATCACAGCTCACTCTATAAGGCTCAGATTTGTAAAAATTAAAACATCTACAAACATTGAGCTCTTGATATACAACTATACAAAAGATTGTTCCTGTCCTCAGAGGATTATGATATAGGTGGGGAGAGAGTTTATGCTATCCACTTCTCCCTCTGAAAATCCATAGCAATTTTCATTCATTAATTCATTCACTTAACAAATATTCATTGAATGCCTAATACTTGCTATATCTATAGGCTAGATAATTTATGGGTTATATTCTATGATAGGGAAGCTCAAGGCAGCAACAGGAATGTAGGTTCTCCTACTCCAACAAGATGGGTTGGAGAGGTGTTTAGGAAAAAGGGTTGTGTTTTACTGTTATATCCCCAACCAGATTAAGTACTTATTGAGGGTAAATTTTCCATCTCATGTGGCCTTGTATCCTTTCATCTGTGTATTTGAAACTTTGGGTTGCTACTCATCGGTAGTTGTGAAATAAAATTAGTGGGAACTGAATAGCATTTTATTTTATATTAAGTGAAAGTGAAGAAAATAGAAAATGTTAGAGCACATTGCACATAATAAGGATAAACATTGTTTCGTGACAGTTTTGTTTCAGTTATCCATGTAGGTGTGGGTGGGGCTATTGGAGTATATAGCTGTTCTCTTTATAAGTGTTTGATAGTTAATGAAATGTATACCCCATGTATTAAGATGCAAGGTGGGTGTGGTGGAAAGAAGTTGGACTTTAAAAAGGGATCAGGCCAGGCCTGGTGGCTCATGCCTGTAATCCCGAAACAGAGGCCAATGTAGGTAGATCACCTGAAGTCAGGAGTTCAAGACTAGCCAGCCTGATCAACATGGTGAAACCCTGTCCCTACTAAAAATATAAAAGTTGCCAGGTGTGGTGGCGCATGCCTGTAATCCCAGCTACTTGGGAGGATGAGGCAGGAGAATTGCTTGAAACTGGGAGGTGGACGTTATAGTGAGCTAAGATTACGAGATTGCACTCCAGCCTGGGCAATAATAGCAAAAGTCTGTCTCAAAAAAAAGAAAAAGGGGATCAGGGATATCAGGATTTGAATCTCATCTCAGCTCTATCAATTACCAGCTATTTGACTTGGTACATGTTACTTTATCTTTCTTTTTGAGAATTAGATGAAATAATGCATTGATGTATCACATATTTTCTAGTTTATCATAGGTTTTGAATAGTTAGGCATATTCTTCTTCCTCCCTTCTCCAGTGGCACTTAAGAGGGAAGTTCATGGAAGACGGGTAGGGAAGGCTCCTTGAGGTAAGTGGCCCTTGACTTGTGCCTTGAGGATAAGGTGGCACAGACATTTATTTATGCAGTAGATATTTATAGAGTACCTATTCTTAATGGAGAGGAGGGAGGATACTGTAAATTGAGGCAGGTTTTGTAAGAGAAGCAATGCACACATTGTCTGTAAAAGAAGGTTTGCGTACAGGAGTTGTGAGCAATAACAACTTATACTTACTATGCGCTTAGTCCTTTATGTATTTTATCTTTGTTTTAATCCTTATTAAAAAAGGATTAAAAGGATTAATCCATCTAATTATCCCCATTTTATAGATAAGACAACTGATGTTTAGAGACATTAAGTGAGTCACAAGATTTAGAGCTAGTAAGGAAAAAGACAGGATTCAGTTCTTGTGGGTTTTTTTTTTTTTGACTCAAAGTCAGACTGAAGGGCAGGCTAAAGGAACTGCTGAGAATTTCTGTGTGTGGGTGTGTGTGTGTGCTATTGAGGTTTTTTTTGAGCATAGGGGTTACAAGTACTAAATGATGCTTTCACATGCTAAACCTAGTAGCACTGGGAAGACTGGAGAGGACAAATTTTTGAGAAATTGATGTAGTAGATTCACTAAGTGGTGGAAAGAGAACTCCTCTGGAATCTCACTCTGCAATTTACTATCAATGTGATCTTCAGAAAAATTACTGAATCACATGGAGCTTCAGTCCCCTTGCTTTGCAGAAGATGATTGTACCCATTTTTTAAGGGCTGTTGGGAGGAGTTAATAGGATAATAGTGCATTAATTATGATCTGTTTCTTCCTGTTAAAACAGTGGGTTGTATTTAGACTAGCATAGTACCTCATTAAGTGCTTAATACGTGTCAAAATGATCGAAGGTATGAATGAATGAACTCATGAATAGTGCAGGAGTGAAGAGATATTTGGCAGGTCTGCCAGAGAAAATGAAAGCGCAGTTCTAGAGGCACATGAGCAGGACTTGGAGGCTAAGGATATTGGGGCAGGATGAGGACTTGTTTATACTTGTAGGTTGTCAAGTCAGATTGTTGTAGTTGCCATTATTGCTAGAAATGGAGAAGTTCTAAAGGCAAGCTGGTGTAGGGACCAACGGAGAACTTTCCCCTTGACCCTCCTAAGGTTCACCAAAGATCACTGACAGGAGGCAGATTGATTAATAGGAGAAGAGGCATGTACAAATTTATTTAACATGTATACATGGGAGCCTTCAGAATGAAGACCCCAAAATACAGGGGAAATGATCTATTTTTTATGCTTAGGTTTAACGAAGAATAGACAACTATGTAGAAATGTGATTGGACATTAAGGATATGATCTAATGCTAATAGACTTGATTGAGCAAGGAAGGCCTGTCTGTCTAGATTCTTCTTGGCCTCTCTGAGCATGCATTCTTTTCTTCTGGGGCAGGACCCTCTCTGGAATGGGGGCTTATGACCTACAGTCAAACAAAGTAGGTCAGATAGTTTTTTTATGGCCAGTTTTTACATGGAAAAGCAAAGGGAAAGTTGGTATATTTTAAGGTTTTATGGCTGGCTTTGGGGAAAATGGATTCTGTTTTTTATGACCTGCCTTGGGGAAGATTCTAGTTTCTAGGGCTAGTTCAGGGGAGAATGGGCCTAGGGGACAGAAGAGCAGAAGATCAGAGAAAAATTTCTGCTTCTAAGGCTGTTTCTGAGGACTTCATTTTGGAGTATTGTATTCTGAGCCCCAACATGAAGGAAGATTTTTATACAGAATATTTTCTGGAGCCTGTAAAAAGGGTCTTCTATGTCTGCCTTTCATCTGAAACATTATCATGTGTGCTGTACTCAACTGATTTCTTCATATCACATTTACTTTCTTGTTCTATGCATCTGCCCTCTTGCTTCTTTTAATCTTTATATCTGCAGTTGTTCTTAGTATTCACCTTCTACTGTTTAAACCATTTCAAAATATACATGTATGATTCCTTTTATTATAATAGTGAATCTTTGTTTTCATAATTTGTAAAGAACA